CCGGGGGGCTCTCTGGGGTGTTGGGGCCTGGGGGAGGGGTCTCTGGGGGGGTCGGGGTGCCCCCTGACGCCCCCTCCCCAGGCTCGTACGCGGGGGCGGTGGTCGCCATGCCGCTGGCCGGGGTCCTGGTGCAGTACACGGGCTGGAGCTCCGTCTTCTACGTCTACGGTGAGACCCCCGGGACCCCCCCCGGGACCCCCTGAGCACCCCCGGGACCCCCCAGGATCCGCTGAGCCCCCTTGGGGACCCCTCCCAGTGCTCCCAGTGCTCCCAGTAACCTGTGTCGCCCCCCAGGCAGTTTTGGGGTGCTCTGGTACCTCTCCCATTGATCCCATTGCCCTGTCTCAGTGTTCCCAGTGCTCCCAGTTCCCCCAGTACCCCCAGTTCCCCCCAGGCAGTTTCGGGGTGCTCTGGTACCTGTCCCAGTGACCCCATTGCCCTCTCCCAGTGCTCCCAGTGCTCCCAGTAACCTGTGTCGCCCCCCAGGCAGTTTCGGGGTGCTCTGGTACCTCTCCCATTGCCCTGTCGCAGTGTTCCCAGTGCTCCCAGTAACCCCAGTTCCCCCCAGACAGTTTCGGGGTGCTCTGGTACCTGTCCCATTGATCCCATTGACCCCTCCCAGTTCCCCCAGTAACCCTGAGGCAGTTTCGGGGTGCTCTGGTACCTCTCCCATTGATCCCATTGCCCTCTCCCAGTGCTCCCAGTGCTCCCAGTAACCCCAGTTCCCCCCAGACAGTTTCGGGGTGCTCTGGTACCTGTCCCATTGATCCCATTGACCCCTCCCAGTTCCCCCAGTAACCCTGAGGCAGTTTCGGGGTGCTCTGGTACCTCTCCCATTGATCCCATTGCCCTCTCCCAGTGCTCCCAGTGCTCCCAGTAACCCCAGTTCCCCCCAGACAGTTTCGGGGTGCTCTGGTACCTGTCCCATTGATCCCATTGACCTCTCCCAGTGCTCCCAGTAACCCCAGTTCCCCCCAGGCAGTTTCGGGGTGCTCTGGTACCTCTCCCATTGATCCCATTGCCCTCTCCCAGTGCTCCCAGTAACCCCAGTTCCCCCCAGGCAGTTTCGGGGTGCTCTGGTACTTCTTCTGGGTGCTGGTGTCCTACGAGAGCCCGGCCCAGCACCCGACGATCTCGCCCGAGGAGCGGAAATACATCGAGGAGAGCATCGGGGAGAGCGCGGGCAGCAACCCGCTGCTGGTCAGACTGGGAGCACTGGGAGCACTGGGAACGGTCACTGGGACTGCTGGGATGGGCATCGGGGAGAGCGCGGGCAGCAACCCGCTGCTGGTCAGACTGGGAGCACTGGGAGGGACTGGGATGGACTGGGATGGGCTCTGGGGTCACTGGGGAGGGAGCGCAGGCAGCGACCCGCTGCTGGTCAGACTGGGAGCACTGGGATGGACTGGGAGGGGTCACTGGGACTGCTGGGATGGGCAGCAACCCGCTGCTGGTCAGACTGGGAGCACTGGGAGCACTGGGAGGGACTGGGAGGGGTCACTGGGACTGCTGGGATGGGCAGCAACCCGCTGCTGGTCAGACTGGGAGCACTGGGAGGGACTGGGATGGACTGGGATGGGCTCTGGGGTCACTGGGGAGGGAGCGCGGGCAGCAACCCGCTGCTGGTCAGACTGGGAGCACTGGGAGCACTGGGAGGGACTGGGAGGGGTCACTGGGACTGCTGGGATGGGCAGCAACCCGCTGCTGGTCAGACTGGGAGCACTGGGATGGACTGGGAACGGTCACTGGGGTCACTGGGATGGGCACTGGGGGATTACTGGGGGCACTGGGAGGGGTCACTGGGAGCGCTGGGATGGATACTGGGAGCACTGGGAGCACTGGGAGGGGTCACTGGCGTCACTGGGATGGGCACTGGGGGATTACTGGGGGCACTGGGAGGGGTCACTGGGAGCGCTGGGATGGATACTTGGACCTGGTGATGACCATCTGGGCGTGGCCGGGGGTGACTCTGGCCACGCCCACCCGCAGCCAGCCACGCCCTGGCGGCAGCCGGTCATACTGGGAGCACTGGGACGGGCACTGGGATGGGCACTGGGAGCACTGGGCTCACTGTGGGCGTGGCCTGGGCTCACGGTGGGCGTGGCCCGGGGTGACTGGCCACGCCCCCGCAGCTGGCCACGCCCTGGCGGCAGTTCTTCACCTCCATGCCCGTGTACGCCATCATCGTGGCCAACTTCTGCCGCAGCTGGACCTTCTACCTGCTGCTCATCAGCCAGCCCGCCTACTTCGAGGAGGTGTTCGGCTTCGAGATCAGCAAGGTGAGCCCCAAAAATACCCAAAAACAGCCCAAAAAAACAGCCAAAAAGATACCGCAAAAACCCGCGCAGAAACAGCCCAAAAAACACGCAAAATGCCCCAAAATCTTGCTGCTCATCGGCCACCCGCCTGCTTCGAGGAGGTGTTCGGCTTCGAGATCAGCAAGGTGAGCCCCAAAAATACCCAAAAACGGCCCAAAAAAACAGCCAAAAAGATACCGCAAAAAACCCGCGCAGAAACAGCCCAAAAACACGCAAAATGCCCCAAAATCCTGCTGCTCATCGGCCACCCGCCTGCTTCGAGGAGGTGTTCGGCTTCGAGATCAGCAAGGTGGGCAAAAAAACCCCAAAATACCCAAAAATGGCCCAAAAAATCACCCAAAAAAAACCCCTGCAAAAATACTGCAGAAACCAGTGCAAAACAACACAAAATCACTCAAAAACCACACAAAATCCCTGCAAAACAACCTAAAATCCCACAAAACACTGGTGGGGTTGCTGTCGGCCCTGCCCCACCTGGTGATGACCATCGTGGTGCCCCAATCATTAAATTTAAATTTAAATAAATTAATTTATGTTTGTATTTCTGGTGGGGTTGCTGTCGGCCCTGCCCCACCTGGTGATGACCATCGTGGTGCCCCAATGATTAAATACAATAACAATAATAAAAATTGAAATTCAATAATAATAATAATAATAATAATA